TGGATGGCGCGTGATTCCAGTGTTACGCCGGGTTTGACGTGCACGCGACGAAATTAGCGTATCTTTGGTGACTACTTACCTTATGAATAATTAATGAGTTCGAGAAAACGATATGCAACAAACCTTACTTCAATTTTAAATGTATTTATTTGCTACTTACACACACACACGCACGCACATACACACACACGCGCGCGCGTGCGCGCACACACAATAAATTACTGTTGTTTACGGCAATCTAAATTAATAACTTATGATATTATTTCACAACAATCTATACTTAAATCAGATAAAATTATAATTCAGGATCATCTATAGATAGTGTAGCGAGGATTAGCCCAGTAGAAGGTAGAAGCTTATCAAACCTTGGTCTCCCTCACGATGAAGAAGATAGATTTACTAACTACGGAAGGGCGAGGTTAATTTAGTTTTCTGTTAGTGAGGAATTTTTAAGCGAAGTCTTAGAGCTAGAGAATCTATGGTACAGGATAGGATAACGAGGTAGGGAATTCCAAACCCTCGGACCTTGGGGCATGATCGTAATGATCCCACTTCATTGCAGGCGGGCCACTGGTTTTCTCCAGCGTTTTTCTATTTTTCATGATGAAACTGATTATGTAACATAGAATGCGAAAAAGCGTTTGTTGGTTTCCGTTAATTAGTTCATCCAGTGTCGCTTTTTACTGACAAAAAATCCTACTCAGGCTATCAGCTCCAATGAGTTCCATACTCATCTCACGAGTTAATTACTTTACGACAGAATTTCATTGTCACACCGGTTGTATTAAAAAAAAAAAACATAATAGAGGAAGTGAAAAGGACCTACAGCTATTAGTTAACTTTTCTTTTAATGAATGAAGATACTCTCACACAGACTTATTGTCCTAGTCCTATTCTATCGTCAGATACCGCTAAAGGGTTCCATGAGAAAATAATAGGCGAAATTGTAAAGATGGGCAATGAACTGAAAGAGGTGAAGGAAAAGCTGTGTACTTTGGCAGCCCCAGTGGCAGAAAGCGAGGATGAAGGTCAGTTGAATTATTGCGTTCGACAGAACAAAATCCTATTGCTGAGTGAACTAAGATTTTCTTAGGCAACCGGTGGATCAATCTTGAGACTCCAATTTGTTCCCCTCCTTCACAAATTACGTTTGGGGAAACCACGAAGCATACGCCAAGCATGCGCACACCTTCGAAAAGCACGTACATACTTTATTGTTTCTTTTCTCGATTGCTTGCTCGGTCAGTTATGTAACGTTCTGGAGTTCGCTTATACAGTTCGCTTACAGTTCGCTTACAGCTCCTTTAGTTGTTCGTTATCCTAGATTGTATCACCCCCGTTCTCACTTTACCGTGCATAATAAATACTGGAGTAAATGTCTCCTGGGGCCTTGGGCGTGGACTTGGAGGCCTGGACACTACAAGTTAGTTTTGAAGTAGCAGCGCCATGCAATCCTCTTTTCGTGAAGTCAAGAAAACAACAATCTAAGCATGGTGAATTCTACTAAGTTGGTTTTATACAAGTAACTTACTTTTTTACTTCTAACAGCTGTTTTTTAGCTTTTCCGGTTTCCCAAAATTTTAGCTTTTGCGTAGTTACGCGTTACACTCAGGAGTAAATGGGTATCTCTCACTGACCGCATAAGGAGCGTGGGGCCTCCTTAAAGAACTAGCAAACACATACAACCACGCCAGACTCTAGAATCAACTAAGAACTGAAACGCGCTGGATAAGCCGTTCTTACTTCTAGTAAAGTGAAACTTGTTCCGCTTATTATTGCGTCGTCATTAGACAGATATTTAACGTGTCCTGTACGTGACAAAGAGATCATGTTTTCTTAAGGAAATCAAGAATAGTCTCGCAGTATGGTTTCGTTTCCTTGCCGTTCTAAAACTGTTTCTACTTAGATATTAGGCGCTGGGTATGGAAGCCACTGTTTATTAAAAACCTGCCGACCAGTAGGTAGCAAACTGTCTTTCGCAAGACGCTGCATAAAATTTTCCTGTTATAGTTTAGTCACAATTACCCTGGACACATTGTAGTTGATAAGCCATTTCCTATTATTTTCAACCATAAAACTTCTAGTTTGTAATTTTTTTCTTAAATCATTCTGGAAGAATCCAAGATCTAACGAGGAAGACACCTATGAGACTGGAGAACCAAATGAAAGAGATGAAGGAAAAGCTGGGTTCCCCGATAGCTTCAACAGAAGAAAACCGGGATCGAGGTTGGTCGTCTGGAAGATCTCGAAAGTACAGTTTAAACGTTACACATTGCCGCTAGGTTGAGGTCGATGTTAGAAACTAGCACTGTAGGTTCGACTGAATTTGTAATCTAATAGGTTTTGATCGTTATCCACTTTGAAGGAATTCCTTTTAATTGAAGATCAGATTTTCCATCATCGAAACACAGATGGTGTGCGGCCTACGACCACGCTACGTTTTGGATCAAATGCCGCTTCAAGCTTATTTCGTCATGACCTAAGTATGGTCGGGATGAATTCGCGGCATGACCCTGGTATTTATGTTTATGTTAAAATGGGCATCATTAGGTTGTTAGTGTATTTAAAAGAGGCGAAAAGAGAAACTTTCACTGCCCGCTTTCAGATGGCTGCTGTAGTCGATTCCTGTTAACTACCCAAGGCTTTGACAATAAGCATCCAGCGAACTGGTCAATCCGAAAGGTACACTTTAGCGACTGAAAGCAAATTAGTTTCGGAAATCAAACCACTCCCAGGCGTTTCCCGACACCGTTTGCGTACACTATCTGTTTTCTAACTGTAAGAGTTACATCGTTTTATTCCGATTTTATTATGACGACAGTTATCTAGGCATTCGTACCAGATATTTGGAGCTACTTATTCGCAGCAGCGTAAAACGGTGTGTTGTATTTGATACATTTCTGAGTGGTCAACAAACGTATGTATAGTGTATGTATGTATAATTCCTGCAAAGATCGTAAGAGATTAGACTTGAGAGATAGAAGTTCGAAAGTATTNACATTTTATCTTGTACATATTGTAAATATTTTAGCATGTTAACCAATCTTAGTATTTTTAGCTCAATTAGCATTTTAACTTTAATTAATATATGGATTTAGTCATTTTTAATTTATTTTGTAGTGTCCCCATTTAGTGGTTATGTACTGCTATTTTAGTCTGACACTTGAATAAAGGTATTCATTCATTCATTCATTCATTTGTGCAGGTTAAGTAAAATGTTCGAAAATGTGCGTATTATATTGACCAGTTGTACTAGGCATTCGTCGTCGAAACCACAACATATTTTTATATTTCTGCTGATGAGAATGTGAAATGTTTAGAAGATCTCGGCTTTTTTCGAAAAGGTGTACTTCGTTCTGAAGACCAGGATCTTTAGGAAGCCAGGAAGAAACACTTTTCCGTAACGCACGCCTGATAAATTTACTCTGCTCTAGATCTAAACCTATGCAACAAACTTCATTGTCCCTCTTTGCTTTGACGATAATCATCAAATTCAATAAACTCTTGTACATTCTCAGAGGAGCAGTCAAGGGATATTCTGAAAATTATCTTTCTTAGCTAGAACCATGATTAAGACCGAGTTTTGCTCTCCTTTCGTGCTAATGCGTATTAAGTTATGGAATTAAAGCCGGCAGGTGACAACATATAACAAGGGTCATTGGATTTCATCGGCAAAATATACGTTATTTACCAGCCTGGACGTTTCGTATAGGGAAAAACTGTGCCCGAGGTCTTGGATACCGTCCAAGGCCGTACGCTGAGGGTGGTACTCAAGACAGAGGGTACAGCTTTTCCCAACACAGACCGACCTAGGCTGGTGAATAACATTTTTATTATTTATTATATCTTTTAAAGCTGAACGAAATACTAGCGAAAAGAACTCGTATGTTGTAGGGCTGTAGTAACGGCAACATCTTCCATAAGTGGAGCAATTGTCAAAAACAGCGAGAAATCTCTGATTTTGGCTTTCACAAAAACTGTACGCATGGTGGCAAAACTACATTTTTTAGTTCTTCGTTTTGTTTTCCAATTTTTCCCAAGCTTCGTGCGCCATTCTTTTCATACACAGCAGAACAGCATAATTTTTTAGGCATTTTTTCTTACTTTTGTTGCGACCTGCAGAGTCATCTGATGAGATTTGACCCTTTTAACTCCCGTGAATGACCAAGACGGAATTTCTCCTTACAATATCATTACAATTCCAAGCAGACAAGTGATGAGAATATGGACAAATATCAAGTAAGGGATCATTAGTTGATTCAATGCCAAATTCCCTAAACTCAAATCATAAAAATTGTATAGCAGACAGGAAGGAGAATTACTAATCACATCTTTGGAGTGAAAGGGACAAGGAGAAGTTTTGGTAAGGGGGGGTAGACAATAGGGGCGAAGTGGGGACAAAATAGTGGCGAGGTGGGGGCACAATAGGAATTACCCTATATTAGCCATGATCCCTTCTTTAATCACCTCATCATACCAGCTGGAAGGGGTGAAAACTCGAAAACTTCATCAGTGAGTTTGATAGGAGCTTGGTGGAGGAGGCAGAAAGGCAATCACTCTTTCCCCCAGTCCCGCTCCCACTTAATTTTTTNNNAGAGAAAAGGTCTAAACTCGGGAGTTCGTTAAGCTTAACTTCGACTGCAATGCGAGGGTCGGAAAATTTGAAGTGAATGTCGTGTTGAAGTCTCAAGATGCGTGACCTGCAGCGAGAGGTGACATGAAGTGAATCACGTAATGTTGTTTAGAAGCAACTTAAACGAGAACTCGTCTGTAGCTGTAGGAGAAAAAAGGTTGCTTAATGTTTATGTGAACCCTTCAAGACTCCTGCTATAACTTTTTCGAAACGTTGCTTTTTCCCGAGGCCGAGAAAACTCATTGCAAAGTCAGTCTTCATTGCGTGACTGAATTACTCGGACGTTTTACGTTTTCGACCATTTTTTGGCGTGATGTTACTTTTTCTGCGTAATGACATCTGCGCAAAGACAGCACCCTTCTCTAAGTCTGTTTATGTTCCGGTGTATCTGTTTCTACCGATTGTATCTCTATTTGTTCTTCGGGAGATCGGTTAAGAGGGAAACGAATCGGTTTAAACCCACATCAATGTCCATGTAAAGAGTTGACCCGTGGAAATCACAGGTACAGAGAGAATATTAATAGTAGAGTTATTCACTCTGTAATGTTAACTTCAACTTCAATAATCCGTTATTGATTTTCATCATCACATGCATAAATGTGTATAGCTATGTAAATTTTTAACACGAGCTTTTGGAGGTAAGTGTCTGTTGAACATTTGTTTGATGCACTCGCTATATTCTTCTTTTGTCAGGACGATTGCTGAGCCTTTTTAGGAGCCCTGGGTGTATTATTTCGGTTGAAGGAACGTTAATCGGGAAGATAATGTGTAAGGTAGGCTGATCAATAATAACGCATGAATTGATGCTCATTGAAAGTCACTTTATATTGAACTCAAACTACGCTAACGGTCTTTTTTGTATTCGGACCAACTGAATTACTTTCATCAGTTGTTTCTGATCTAGATATTAGAGAGGGAAATGCTATAGTGAGCATGGGAAAACGTAATACGAACAGTGAAAGCGGAAGGTACTATATTCGCACGCGTAAGGCAATTCAAAGTGAAACCTTTTCCACACAGTTCGTTTCCCAGTGCTAGAGAGTGATTTGCTTTCACTAATTCAATTAAAATTTTACCAGGAACTCGATCTAGTCATTATTTTTCAATGTAATATTTATCAATAAGGTTATTGTGTCTTCAGATACATATATCTTATTAACCAAGCGCGAGGGCCGTACTGGGAGAATATCGGAACGAGGTCCAATACTGAGAGAATATTGACCGGAAATAGAGCATTTTGATTGGTTGATCTTAGTCATTGGCCCTCTGACTGCCCGAGTCGTGTAATAAAATCTGATAAACCACATACATGTAAAATTTGACCACAAGTAATGTTTGGAACAAAGGCAGCCTGTATAAACGACAATTAGATTACTAATTAACCAATTCTCCTTCAAATGTGAATGTTTACTTGGACTTCAATGATCCGTCGTTGATTTTGTGGCTTTTACTTGGGGTAGAAGAGCACAGAACACATCATCACAATGGAAGGTGCTGAACAAGATTAATCACTTCAAAATGTAATTTGGAATTGTGCCCTCAGAAACTAGTTCTTTATGTTTCTTTAGGAGTTTAAAACTGATATGTGTTTGAATTTGGTAACTCGCATGTAAACTTGGTAGTCTGGAACTGTGGAAATGTAGAGATGTGCGAATAAGCAAATAAGTCTTTAGCTTACGCACCTTCATTTTAACTTGGTGGTCTGGAAATGTGAAAATCTGTAAATAGGCTAATGAGTCTTCAGCCAACTCCCTTTTATCTTAACTAATGGCAGTCTGCTGGAAATGTGAAAATATGCAAATTTGTAAATAAGACTTTCGCATACTTGCTTCTATCTCATCTTGGTAGTCTGGAAATGTGGAAATGTGAAAATCTAGAAATATGCAAATAAATGTTTAGCAACCTCATCTGCATATTTCCCCATTTCCAGACTGACAAGTTAATATAAAAGTAAGTAAGCTAAGAACTTAATATTTGCATATTTGTTTATTTCCACATACTACTTCCTATAATGGTTTGAAATTTAGATAAGGGACAGGAAAATGTTTCAGCAAAGATCGGAAAATGTTCTGTGTATCAGTGAAAGTGGGAATTGTTATTTTCTTACGCAAAAGGAACTGAAAGTGAAGGCTTTCTCTTGCAGTTTATTTTCTGGTTTTAGAGAAATGACTTTCTTTCTCTAATTCAATAAAATGTTCTCTGGGAACTCAGGTTAGGCAAGTATTTGTTGATGTATTTTTTTTCCAACAAGATTTTTGTGCTTTCAAATTCCATCAGATAAACCACTTATCATTTGACCATAAATGATGTGTGGCCCTAGGGGATGGGAGTTTGAACAAACTGATGTTCTAAAGGTTAAATGGCTAGGAGATTGCATGGGGGAGAGGGATGTTGATCCATCAAATTGATTGATTCATTACTTGTACTATTCTAGCTGGCTGGCATGCATGTGCACTAGTTTATGTGAGATTGCCCCTGTTACTGCAGTGACCACGTCATTTAACACAATACACATACTGTAACCCAATTATTTTCCCAAAAACTATGAATGAGTTCATTCCAATCAGTCGAATGGCATTTTCATATAATAGATTTCCTTAGCTCCTGAAGTTTTAAATTTCTGATGGTCTTGCCATAATGAACGGGATTCCTCTAATTTCCACTAAAGGATTGCAACTGCTTACTTTGATGCAAGTTTTGGTATTTTGTCAATCAATCAATGTGGATCATGGTGTGTTAATTTTTTTAATTCCAGTTGAATTATGATAATTATGTACTGTTGCCTTAGTTTGTATAATACCATTTACTGGGTATAACCTTGCAGCACCTTTGAATGTTCATAATTGTGACTTTCATTTTCTTTCATATCTGATTATATTTCTTCTGCTGCTTTCCTTTTCAGACTTTTTGACATTATCTCACATTCAAGGGTCATTTTCTTGAACCCAGGAAACCATCTACAAGGTAGGGGGACTTTGACTACTATTTTTTCTCTATTTTTCAAATCTTCCCTTCATTTGTCAATCTGTATAGGGTATTTATATTGAGCTTGTATTCAGACCTTAACAGCTTGGGAAATTTTGGAATTTTATTTCTGCACTCCTTATGAGCATGTGAGGTCAAACTGATATAAACAAATTACACTAAGTACTTTTCAGGCACTGTGCCGTAATGTTCTTGAGCTAATTGTACTTACAATTCTGTATTCCTTTCCCTTTCTTGAACCTTATGTTCCCGTTACGATTTTCAAAACACATGTTCAGTTTTAGAGAGAAATGTCCCTAAGCATATTACGTGACTTGAAATAATTTCATGCACTATCACACTATAAATCATTTATAGCCCTCCTTTCCCCATTCAAAGTTGGCTTAAAGTTCACGAAATCATGCTACAACATTGTTTTGGGGGAGAAAGGGTGTAAAGGTTAACTTAAAGAGGGAAAAGAGATAAAATTGAAGCAATAGGGGGTTGAAAAGATCAATTAGTTGTCAGTTTTGTGGCAGATTGTAGAATTTTCCAAATTTTCTGGGGGGAATGCCCATCAATGAACACCAGCAGTTATGCTATCCAGTGCTCCCTCAGTTCAAACATTTTTGCCTATAGCCCTTTATGTTGTTTCTCTTTATGCAAATATATTTCAGGAATCCTTCATTCTTATTTTCGTGAGTATTAAAAAATGCGAGTGCCATTTTTAGTAATATTATTTCGCTTTCAATTTGAAACAATTGATTTGTTAGTCCTATATGCTCCTGAAAAGGCATGAGAACATCTTTCTTCTGGTAAAATAATGTTTATCATACTGGTGGAAAACCTTCCACTAGAATTTACCACCATTGCTACAACTATATACCCATTGGCCGTTTGGATGGTGGTGAAGGATGATGCACATAAAGCTCTGCTGTTACTGACCACAGGCATGTTGGTGGCCCTAAAAATCCTAAAAATCCCTAATATTTTTGGCTATCCCTAAAACCTTCAACTAGAATTTACCACCATTGCTAGAACTATATACCCATTGGCCGTTTGGATGGTGGCGAAGGATGATGCACATAAAGCTCTGTTGTTAGTGACTACAGGCATGTTGGAGGCCCTAAAAATCCTAAAAATCCCTAATTTTTTTGGCTATCCCTAAAAAGCCCTAATTTTTTAGAATTTTCCCTTAAATCCCTATCTTTTCTTTCTTTCTTTCCGGTAATAACTGATGTCCAATGTCGTTGAAAGCGTCTCCACAACTTCTATCAGTGACTGGTAAGTTATTTCAGCTGTTTTTGTGCACTTTTCTTTAAGATTTCTTCCCAATGATATAATTTGAGGGGGGTGAGTTGTGCTCATTTTGCTTGAACTCAAGTACTAGATTTGTAGCACTCTTATACTATCTCATTCTCTGCAAGAGTTTTAAAGTAGTAACATCTCTTTGTAGAAGCTCTTACAGAGACTGCAGTAAACGAGTTTCTCAGTAACTGTTGTTCTGAAACAATACTTCTTTATTTTAGTTTTTACCTTCATGTGAATGTAAGGGCATCCACATAACTTACTCAACCTTTTTCTGCTCACTGATGAAGCCGTTAACAGCGCAGGTTCAAAAGATAGTCTTATTGTAATATTCATCCTTTGGTGTGCCTTGCAGTTTTGTCTCAGAGTGTTGAGTAATACTGTGAACCACATGTAACTTGTAATCATGCCACACTGAAAGACACAGTTTCAGAAAGCCTGGTTAGGAAAAACTGATCGCAATGGACATCTTATTGGAGAGTGGTTGAAAGAAGATTCAACACCATTTACAGTGACATGCACATTGTGTGCTTCTTCCTTTAAATGTGATAATTCTGGCTTGCAGCAAGTTATGTCACATGCAGATGGAAAACGACATAAAGCTGTAGCAAGTCAGCGATTTAGCAAAAGCCAGAAACATTCGTCAACTTCAGAGAAATTTGGTGCATGTGTACCGAACAGCAGAAGTCACAATGACCAAGTAACTGTTGCAGAGGCTGCATGGTGTATGAAAGTAGCAGTAAGCAACTACAGTTACAACAACTGTGAGGATTTGCCTGACTTGTTTCAACTCATGTTTCCCTGCCCCTACACAAATGACTTTTCCCTTGGTCGCAGTAAGGTTTCATACCTGATCTCAGACGGTTTAGGACCTTATTTTCAAGAACTCCTGAGCAAAACCATGACGAAAGAAGGCAATCCATTACGTTGCAGTTCAATGAAACGGTCACTATGCAAAACCAGAAGCAGTTAGACTTACTAATCAGATTTTGGTCTGAGGAGAAAGGAGAGGTTGTGACACATCTTCTTAGGGCATTTTTTTTTCGGCCATGCAAAGGGAGACATTGTCGCAGATTCCATAGTTTCAACGTTGGAAGAGGTTGGTTTGAATAAAGAACAGTTCCTGAGTATGGGCTCAGATGGTGCAAACGTGAATAAGACAATTTGGAAGTCCCTAAATAAGCACCTGAAGGTATTGGGTTTCCCTGGTCTTGTCGAATTCATGCCTTGTAATGTTCATGTCGTGCATAACAGCTTCAGACATGCCTTGTCTGAGTATGGTCAGCGTGCTGAACAACTGGCCCTTGATCTCTTCTATTGTTTCAAAGCACATCCAGCTCGTAAAGAAGATTATTTCAAAGTACAAACTGACCTTGGCTTTGATGAGCAACTGTTAATTCGTCACCTTCAGTCCAGATGGTTAATACTCACTCCAGCTTTGACAAGGATAGTTGACAACTGGGAGCCTATCTTTTGTGCTCATCTTGCTTGAGCATATCTATATGCTTATCAACGCTGTGCTTACTCTTTTCCACGGCAATGCTGCTGTTGAGCAGAGCCTGTCAATCGACAAGCAGGCAATTAGAGCAAATAGAACACTCCTAACTCATGAGTCACTCAGTGGCATCAGACAAGTCAAAGACGCAGTAACTGCTACAGACGAGAAGATCCACGTTATGGATTTTTCGACTGAGCTCATATCATGTACCAGAAAGGCTTATTATAGATACAGACAAAGACTGGAAGAGCAGAAAAAACAAGAAGAAGCTCAGAAGAATGAAAGGGTTAGAAGTGAAGAAGCTGAAAAGCATAAGAAAATAGCAGAGGAGAAGGAATTTGAAGAGAGAAAACGGAAACTTTAGGAGACTGAAAAGGAACTGCAGAACCAGCACGAGGAAAACCAATCCAAGCTGAAGGCTGCAGAGGCGTTGTTTAGTGAAGCCAACCAGAGATTAGCTGATGCAGTTAAGTCCAAAGATTTTAAGAACAAAGTGGTTGTAGCTCAGGGCCTATTGGAAATTGCCCACAAAGAGATGAAAACTGCACAGAGTGAAATGGAAGACTGGCAGAAAAGGAGATCATCTTTAGACAGCAAACGTTTTTTTCGTGAGGGAATGTATTTGGAATGCAATTGCAACTGAAAATGATTGATAATGCTAAACACTAGACTGCCCTTCTGTTCATAATTTAGCAGTTAGGATGCAATGCTTAAATGATTTTTATTAGTTTGCTCTACGTTATTTGATCATAGTTTTTCTGAATGGTCAAAATTGAATCATTATGTTGTTTAAAATTTCATAATATCAATTATTGATATTGTTCTTGTTCAGTGCACACTTGCACTGATGTTATATGAAGATTCTTAGTTGCATGATTTCAGTGGGATACGGACACCCCACATCAACTAGGGCAGATGTCTAGAGAATCAGTCCCATTGTATTATTTACATTGACTGATCAGTCTACTACTGTAGAACCCGTACTAATATTGAATGATTAAATATGTTTAGTTTCAGGTGACAGTTTTAAGTTTATGATACCACTTCAAATTTTATTGATGTTGGATTTAAGTAAGGCCTTTTCAAGACACATTCTAACGATGGCCATCCTCTTGTTGAAAACTTTGTATATTGCGATTTTTTTTGAGTAAGTATGCTTGTGTTTGGATGGGGAAAAAGGTAAGATACATTACTAAAAATTGCCCTAAAAAGCCCTAATTTTCAACCATTTTTCCCTTAAAATCCCTACTTTTTACAGAAAAAAATCCTAATTTTCCCCCCTAAATATTGCTAATAGGTGACCAACATGCCTGTGACCATAACAGGGTGTCAAGTTCCTATTTTTTTCTATTTTTCCTATGTTTTGGCCTGCCTCCTATTTTCTCTTATTTTTTCATGAAATTCCTAGTTCTTCCCCTTTTTTTAGGGTTTTACTAGGTACACAGAAACATTTTGAAATATTTGAAATAAAATTGCAAATAAAATTGATAAATTCTACAAAAAACTGAAAGTTCATGTCAAAAAAGACCAGTTTGAAGTCTTTATGAGCGATTTTATTCTGAAACTAGTACCCAGACTTTCTCAGTGCTTTTGATAACATGCAAGGGATTCTGGGAGGTTCATATGCATGTATGTGCATTTGCCAGGTTGAAGTGGGGCTGCAATGCATTATGGATGTATGTCATGGTGCCTGTTAAATATTAAAGCGTTGGGTTGTGGAACAGAGTTTCTGTTGGGAGTGTTAATAGGATAGAACTCAAGAAATCTTCCTATTTTTTTCCTATTTTGGGGTGAGAATTCCTATTTATTTCCTATTTTATGGCCACTGTCATTCCTATTTTCTTATCTTCTAAGTGTCATTTGTCACTTGACACCATGCCATAAGTATTGCGCTTTTCTAGGGGTGGCTGATGGTGGTTGCATGCCCTCTCTCTTTTGATCTGGCCTGTGGAACTTGGTGCTGTTTTGTTGTTGTTTTTGGGGTTTCAAGAAGATAGCCTTACTTTTAACACAAAAGAGTGTAATCACGCATATGAATACCATGGTACTTAGAAAGCAGACTGCATTCTGTTAAGTATCAGACGTTAAAGAACTAAAACGGACTGAGTTTAATCTAAGGCACTCGAGAGAGAACAAAAAGGCTCGTTGGTGATTCTTTTTCCCCTGAGCCTTTCAATTCGTAAGGTAAAGTATCTCTGATTAAATCCCATTCCCTCCCCTCCGTTTCTCCACGAGGGTGGTGTACTGCTACTCGTAGGCAAGGGGTTCTTTAATGAATTTGGCTACCTTATAACTTGACTTCGATTGTTATGATTAACAGGCTGTCCTGGTTAGTTTCATGGCTACGACTACATCGCCATTTACATCTACGAAAGAGACGACCAACTATGCAAGGCTGTGTCGCCTCCTGGTGGATGTTGGATCCCAGGCGCTGCGGTCCACTTTTGACAAAGTACATCCACCACTGACTCTACCCACAGTTTTGGGAAAAACCTCTGTGCACTACCCCACGTTGCAATCGCTGTACAAAGGGAAGAAGAGAGTGCTGAATCCCACGCAATGGGGGGCACTGTATCCTGCTCATTTACCTGTGTCGTCGGCAAGCTTTGATATCACACTTCTGACGGTGCTTCTAAGAAATATCTGTGGTTTGAGCCCTCCTGCCACTGGATGGGATCATCTCCCCCCAGCTACAAACATTAGCACCGCAGATGACATCGCCAGAATAAAGTATTATAGGAACATTGTATATGGCCATGCCTCTCAAGCCTCTGTGGATGACACTAATTTTAGTACCTATTGGAGGGAGATACGAGAAGCCTTGGTGAGACTGGGAGGAGCTCATTTTCGAGCTGACATCGACAAACTTGAACACGACGCTATGGATCCAAAAATCAATGAGCAGTATCGTGAACTGATGGAAGAATGGAAGAAAAATGATGACAACATCAAGGACAAACTTGAAGAGATGGAAGGTTAGCATTCTCGAGTGCCATATGGATGAATCAGAAGTAAAACAAGGCAAATAAATTTTCTTTTATATAGTTGGGTAGGATAGCTCTCGATGATTTTATTTTGCTCGCAATTTTGTCACAAATTTGGACGGTTTTTTTCCAGCGTCATGAGTGAAAAATGCAAAATCGATTAATCCAAATGTTGACACTGTCCTTTCATTGGTTGTATTCCTGTGTATTAATTGGTTTGGAACAGCATAAACAATGGAGTGCCTGTGTTGAATTTCATACAGAGCATACATATTGCATTGATCAAACTTTAGACCTCTCACGGCGCACTATTTTCGATTGCTCAGGGTTGTATAATTTTATTTCCTAAACACAAACATAAACATAAACGCGATAGGCCTTTACTGACTACAAAATTCGAAAAATACCAAGGAATGATAACGTTGTACTATTTTATTGGCAAAAAACGTAAGACTATAGTGTAAATGTGCCTATGAAATGTTTGCTATCTCTCGTAAATTTTCAGAGTCACTGGAAAATATGAGAACAATTATGGAGAGAAACTTCAGAGACACAACTGAGAAGATAGAGAGTGAAATGAAAGACGTAAAGGAAAAGCTTGGTACTTTGACGGCCTCAGTGAAGAAAAACACAGATCAAGGTTAGTTGGTAAAATGAGCTTCACAAAGCAAACAATTAGCAATAACGATACCGGGCTCTTCAAGAGTTCGTATCGCATCTCTTGAGACTGACAACGTTTGCTTGATGTCAGGATATTCAGCCCACCTTGGTTATATACTGATACAAGACCACACCTTGGCCAGAACCTGCCCCGGCCACACATGAAGATGAGTAGTAATGTGTGGTATGAATAGAATGGTACGGAATCTGAGAATTTCCACCCTTGCTGTCAGATTTTGGTTATCTGAGAGAATTAATACAGATTTATACTCATAGGCGAAAAGGTTCATTGTCTCACCTTTGTTAGGGAAACGATGAATCTAACTTCCCAGGCCGTTAGATATGGACTGCATATTGCCGAATAAAGGAACTCAAACATTCCACCGCTCATATTGTAGAGTATTCCATTTTGATAAGCTGACCGGCAAGAAAAGAAACTTCTATCAATTACGAATAAACAACTACAAAACACAATTTTTGTGTGTGCTCGTTCTTTTTACGTTCTTCTTTTACGAAATAAATTGGTTCATTTGTATCTCCTGGATGAGGATCGTCTGATTCAGGATATGAATTGGGTCAGGATAAGGTGTATGCAGTTACTTTACATTTCCCTCGTTAACGATTGGACTGAAGAGGTAACTTCCCACTTCATTGCGGGTGGACCTCTAGTTTTATCAAGCATTTTCTCTTGTCATGATAAATTTGCTTGTGATAGGAGGCGTAATGGTCCCCTTTGTTTCTCGTTGATTAGTTTACGCAGTCTTTTGAACCAAAACGAAACCTTACTCAGACAGCTTTCCAACCGAGGTTTGCTGCCAGAAATCAATGAGGAAAAACCTTACGATGTAAGGGTGTTGTCCAACTCCAGGCCAAACAATAAAGGAAATGAAAAGGATCTATTTAGTTTCCTTTCATTAAGACTAAGAGTTTCATTGATATTCTTAACGTCAGATACCATGGGAGGATCTCTCGAGAAAATGACAGGCGAAACAACAAAGATGGACATGGAACTGAAAGAAGAGGGAGGAAAGCTGTTTACTCTGACAACCCCGGTGCGAGAAAGCAGGGGTGGAGGTCGGTTACAGTATACGAGAAAACTTATTCTGCTTATTGTTGAGTGTTCATTACCTGAGAATTAAGCCGCAGCTAATATGTCCTGCATGTGACAGAGTGATCATTCTATCTTGAAGAGATTGGTTTTTTTTCAATTGAACAATTTCCGGAAGAGTCTCTGCAGTCGGCTTTCACTTTAATGCATTAAGTGTGGTGCGCAGGTCACAACTGGCCATTCGAATTTCATTTTCCCTAGCGTTCTAAGATTGAGGTATAGAAACCACTTTTCATAGAGTACCCTCTAACCAAGAGGTAGCAAACAATACATCTACATAGATACAATAAATCGATACAATGCATCAAACAATACATGGGAGGGCATCGGCATTGAATTTTCCTTTAAAATTTCACCGGGATCACCCTGGAAACATTGTAGTTGATAAGCCATTTTTGTCTGTTTTCAGTCATAAAACGATGACCTCTTTATAACTTGTAAAATCTGTTGTAAATCATACAGGAAGAATCCAAGATTCAATGAAAGAAACAACTATGAGAATGGAGAACGAAATGAAAGAGATGAAGAAAAAGCTGGGTTCCCTGATAGCTTCACCAGAAAAGAGCAGGGATCGAGGTCAGTCGTTTAGAAGACCGCGAGCGGACAGTTTAAACGTCAAATATTGGGCTGATACTAAGGTCGATCTCAAGAACTAACAATATAAGTTCGACTAAATTCGTAATCTTATAGCTTTTTTTCGATATCCACTTTGAAACAATTTTTTTTATTGTTTTGTAGATGAGATTGTTCATTATCAAAACTCATACTCGTAAACTGTTTGGACAGTCACTTTATTGTCATAGGATAGACTGGGATTCAAATGGTTGTCTTTTGCAAAGCAAGAAAACTATTCCAACGTTCTAGTGATTTATTTGGCAGTGTTGTCGAAGTCAGACAATTAATTTAAATTTAATACCAAATATCTGAGAAATATCACAGTTTTTCCTGTATCTTTTACATTTCTAACTCATTTTGCTATCTCTAGGTATTTTCGATCCAACTGAACTTATCGACGGGATTCGCCAGCTTTACAAGACTCGCGAGGGAAGGCTTTCACCATTTCCTTGGTGTGAAGAGTTTCAATTCTTTCTTGGCAATATTTTTACCAGACTCAAAGTAGTTAGAAGGAAGAAAACGAGAGGAGAAGTAACTGACGTATTTGTTGACATGACGTCCATACTGAACCCGAATGAAGAGTGTTCAGCGCCGAGAACAGTGTTGATTGAAGGAGAACCTGGTATGGGAAAAACCACGTACTGCAAAAAGTACGTCTACGACTGGGCCACAAGAAAGCCGGAAACTCAGGGCTGCGGCTTAACAGCATTCAAAGCAGTATTGTTGCTTAAATGTCGAGACATCTATTCCGGTGTTTGGGAAGCCATTGACGATCAGCTTCTGCCCCGAGACATCGATGAAAAAGTTAAAAAACAATTCTTTCAGTTCATTCGTGAAAATCAATCCAGCATTTTATTGATACTGGATGGATTGGATGAGTTGCATTCCAGCAAATTGCTAATGTTTTCGGAATTGATTGAAGGAAGGGTACTCCCTAGATGCCACATAATTATAACAGCAAGACACGAAGCTGGAAAAGAGGCGAGAAGATTATGTGACACGCTGCTTGAGATTGAAGGATTCACCAAAGAACATGTTAACGAATTTGTAATCAAATACTTTAAAGAAAGGCCAGATTTAGCCACTAAGCTCTCGGAACGGATGTGGCGCGATAAACACCTGAGGGAGATGGCAGCCAATCCTTTAAACACAGCACTTCTTTGCCTTTTGTGCGAAGAGTTTCATGGCACACTTCCCGAAAACAGAGCTCAACTTTACTTGGATATGGTTGAATTTGTCTTGAGAAGATATAGAAAAAAGGAAGGACAATCAAAAGCGAATGTAAACCTGACAAACCTTTACAAACCGCAATTGAATCGCCTTGGGTTGGTAGCGTTGAATGGCCTACTTAACGACAAATTGGATTTTGATGAAAGTGAATTGGGAGACCATGCGAAAGAGTTGACTGCGTTTGGATTTCTATCGGTGCAGCCTGGTGGAAGCAAATTTAGAGAAAATGTGCATTATGCTTTCCTACATAAAAGTTTTCAAGAATGCTTTGCAGCATTCTTCATTTGTTCTCAGATTCAAAGGAAGGAAATCACACCTAAAAAACTAGTTTTCGATGATAGGTATTTCGGTAAACTGAAACAAGTACTTTTGTTTTCATGCGGAATTTTAGCCATGCGATGCGATGAACGCGTTGTGGCTCTTGTGAACAGTTTAACAAACCAAGTCAACAAACATGAAGGCAATGGTGCAAACGTTGTATTAGAGGCCATTAGCGAATGTAAAAGAGGAAAAGATTTTCCTTTACATTTAGCAAAATGTTTTGGATCTAGTTTGAATCTTACCAATTTGGATTTGTCTGGGAATTCTATTGGCGATACCGGTGCTACATCTATTGCTGAGGCAATCAAAGTCAACAAGACTCTGACCAATTTAAATTTGCCTGGGAATAATATTAGTGATGCCGGTGCTACATTTATTGCTGAGGCAATCAAAGTCAACAAAACTCTGACCAATTTAAATTTGTCTCTCAATCGCATTAGTAATACCAGTGCTACATCTATTGCAGAGGCAATCAAAATCAACAAAACTCTGACCCATTTGAATTTGTCTGGAAATTATATTAGTGATGATGGTGCTAGATCTATTGTCAAGGCAATCAAAGTTAACAAGGCTTTGACCAATTTGAGTTTGTGTCACAATGATTTTAGTGATGCCAGTGCTGCATCTATTGCTGAGGTAATCAAAGTCAACAAGACTCTGACCAATTTAGATTTGTCTTTCAATCGCATTTCTGATACCAGTGCTTCATCTATTGCTGAGGCAATCAAAGTCAACACGACTCTTACCAATTTAGATTTTTTTTGCGATGCCATTAGTGATGCTGGTGCTTCATCAATTGCTGAGGCAATTAGAGTCAATAAGACTCTGACCACTTCAAATTTGTCAATGAATTAGATTAGTGATGCCGGTGCTACTTCTATTGCTAAGGCAATCAAAGTCGACAACACTCTGACTCTATTGAATTTGTCTGAGAATTAGATTAGTGATGCCGTTGTTACATCTATTGCTGAGATGATCAAAGTCAACAAGACTGCGTCCAATTTGAATTTGCTTCACAATGATTTAAGTTAAAGCAGATAATTCGGATTTGCGTAACATTGGTATTTAGTGATACTGGTGCTACATCTATTGCTAATGCAATCAAAGTCAGCAAGACTCAAACGAATTTGCATTTGTCTGAAAATTATATTTACGATGCCAGTGCCACATGTGTTGTTGAGGCTCTTAAAGTCAACATGACTCTGTCCAATTTGGCCGATTTTTCTGGGAATTACAGCAGTGATGCTGGTTTTAGATCTATTGCTAAAGCAAAGTCGACAAGACTCTCACCAATTTGGATTTGCCTAGAAATTCAATTAGTTATGGAGGTATTGGATATATTGCTGTCGCGGCAATCAAAGGTAACAAGACTGACTATTTGAATCGGTCTGAAAATTATTTTAGTCACACCGAAGCTGCATCTATTGCTGAGGCAATCAAAGTCGACAAGACTCTGACCAATTTGGATTTTTCTTGGAATTGTATCAGTAATGCTACGGCTACATTTATTTCTGAGACACTTCAAGTAAAAACAAGAAAACGTTGAAACTTTTTGCCGTGAATTCATCGCTGCATCATAATTTTGCTGAAGTGATATGTGTGACCAAAACTCTAAGTGAGTTTAACGTACTTGAGGAGAAGTTATTCAAGTGATTGTACTTTTCTTTTACAGGTAATTAATTGAACTATAAAGCTTTTCTTTGAAAAAATGTGAGCAGTTACTATATATATTGCTAAACTAATGGACAAACTCTGCGTAGTGTGTTTTCTTTAAACTGCTCTAAGTAGCACCTTGATTAGATTACATGCAAGCTATAACAGCTAACTTTGTGATATTTTCTACAATTAAAATGATGCTCATGCTCAATCAAAAGCTTGTTTTTTACTTATTGTTTGAATAATAGCCCAGTGCCGATATTTTTAGGCGCGCAAGTCTGGAACCTAGTTTTCGATACCAAAGCGAGGCCTGGTGGAATATAAGGAAACTTGAATGCAGACTTCGAAGAGCACATCAGGCGCATAATCTGTCTTCGATGAAGTTAGAAATTATTATTTTCCTCGTTTATAGGACGGTGAAGTACTGCCCTGTAGCGCTCTGTATTAATGGGACTCACAATTAGTCAAATCTCTCATATTTTCGTTTTCGTTAAGAAATAAAATTACGCAAGGAGCGGGAAAAGCCGACGGCAAATTTAAGAATCTTATTGATCGCTCCATTTCAGCAAAGAACACCTGAAAAGAATCAAAGGAGTCCCAGGAGCTTTCCCCACTGTCTTTGATCCAAGCAGACAGGCGCCAAAGAGAATTCAGTGGATCTCTGTAAAGACAAGCTCACTAAGAGAGCTCTTCAGGCTAAGCGATTGGCTGACAAGATGGGGAGCTTCCCATCGATATGACGAACACCGATTTATTTCAAAGCTGCAAGGTGAAATTCAAACTGGTTTTACTTGTAGTATTTTTAAACCAACAGGTAAAATTTAAACTACAGCATATACAATAAACCCAAAGGGCCAAAAGAATATAACCTTTCCTGAGGGCCTGGGTGCTACCATGCATCTCAAGTTATGTATCTGCCAGGCTGCAGCCAGTCTATTTATCTTAGTGATCAGAAGACAATATTTACCTTTCAAATTATACCCATGAAAGTCATAGTTTCACATTTAATTTCTTAAGCTTGGCCCACTAATGCTGTTACACTTCCAGTTAAAAAGTAGTTACACTGAATTTCAATATCTCATTTCTATTAAATTCTGTCACAGAGGTACAGCAGTGTGTTCATTCACCTCAATGAATTCTCCTTCCAACTAGCAGAATAATCCAGATTCTCAAATTTTCTTTCTTAAGTCTGAGCTTTTCCATTACACAATGCTTTGCTATTTCATATTATTTTACTGACCCTATATTCTCTTATTGTATAATTTTATTTTTAAGAATTACACTGACTAGGGGGGCCCCTGATACTGACTTTTTTTTTATCGTATCGATGATTTCCAAGCTCTTGTATCTCAAACAAGTGTTTCTTAAGTATCATTGAAAGTGGCAGTTGTATTTATTTCTTCGTTTTAATAGGTATTTTTTCGTAATGACCAAGCTATACTTTGTACACCCTATTCCAATTAAAACAAGAACATTAACAACAAAAATGCGTAAGCATTTTTTCTCATTTTTAATTGGAACTCGGAAGCCATCTCATTAAATTTGTCAACGATAAATATTCTTTAAC